TTTGGACATCCCTCTTCTAAGAATTCCAATTGAGTGTGTTAGTGTGGCCAGCTCAGGGCAATATGATATTATAAACACAGCACATATCACGTCTCTGCTGTTTATAACTTCATAGGAAAGAAAACACGCCATTCATAACAGTTTGAACGAGGAAACCGCTCGCAAGAGCAACAGGAACTTTGCTGCAAGACAGGCATATGTAACGATGACTTAGCACAGATATTGTCGTGTCTCATTATAGATAGTCCTTGTGACAACATGCCAGCGAAAAATCTAACAATCTACAGCAAAACCATCAATTATTATGGGCGTTATAACATAGGTGTGCAGCTGGACGAAACATAGACGTCGAACCCCCCCAGACGATTTAAATACCTGACGAAACATACACGTCAAACCATGCTGAATGGTTAATAAATGCACGAGTTGATTTCTGTTTAATGATAATAAAATAACAATATAATAATATTATAGTAATAAGTTGATCACGTTATGTATTTATATTAATTGTTTGATATCATGCGTTTTTGAGGGGAATAACATTTTGGTGTGTGGTGTTGAGTCATGGATACTTCATGGTGTGCCACGAGTAGAAAAAGGTTGCGGAACACTGATCTAGATCACAGCCAGTCATTTACTGACTGAGAATCAATGAAAATGTCAGGATCAAGCAGAATTACGATGTTTAACGCCATCTCCCATGAATAACACACAGTCAATCGTAAACTGCTTCATTTATGCAGTATACTGCACTTCACATATCCACATCAAAATATTATCAGTACACATAGAAAAGACATGATATACCAAAACAAAAGACTGCATGCTTGTTCATGATCTACTACATAGCTTATGTTCATGCAATGTGTTAATGCTTAACAGTTCAGTGTTGTGATAAACTGAAACGGTGTAATGGCAATGATAAATCTCATGCTTACAAAACATTTCTACAGGCATAAAGAGATAAATAAACTTTGGTTTCTTCCTTTTTTTTGGTCCTGACCGCTTCTTCAGTTTCATAATCTTTTTTACGGTCGGTAGGACTCGTTGCATGAATGATCAGCCCAGTGCAAGGCTGCTACCTATATGCAGAACAACATAAACACAGAATAAACATACACACACACACATAGCCATCCATGCCTTGAGTGGGATTCGAACCCACGATCCCAGCATTCAACCGAGCGAAGACAGTTCATACCTTAGACCATGCTGCCATCGTGATCAGCTGTACATATATATTGTGATAATGATAAGAAAAGCGACAATATGTTGGAACAGAATAGGTACATTTGCATCTGATAAATATGTACAGCTGGTCCCTAAATCAATTTACATCACTAGAAATTGTGACGTGCAGTGTCAGGAAAGGGTTATATTATACACTTGCATATTTTGGCATACAAAACAGAAATTTAAACATGGATGCGTTACAGACAGATTGCAACTAATGGAAATGAAGTTTCTGCAATGTATTATGAAACAATGAAATCTTAAACTGTTTTATCTGATAGCTGCTCTTACCTGGTAACAGCATATCAACACATACAGTGCTGAACTGGTGTTTGGCAGAAGGTCAGAGTTGATCTGATGAGTCAGGATCAGGTTCATGAGTAGCTACAACACAGAGTAAGTGTTACAGTATAGGCACAACAGATAACTGTGGTCACAGTGCAGGGGTCAAGAATGCCCACCCCTTATACAAGTGTTACAGTACACTGCATGGTGCTGTGTCTTGCTTGAAAATTTAATGGTCTTGAGTGATCAAAATATTCCATGTATTTATGGAACCCCAAGGCCAATTACTATGTATACAAAAGTTCATCATTGGACCCTATCCTAAGCCAGTTAAATCTAGTCCAAATCCTCTCATTCTAAATTATCTATCATTTTAATAGGTTTTCAAAATGACCTCTTGAGCTTTTCTGACTAGAACTGTGGTCACATTTCATAATTCCTCATCCATGATCCATGTTCCACCCACATAATCCTTGATTTAATCACTATAATATTTGATGACAAGTATAAATTATGAATCTCCTCATTATAAAATTCTCTCTATCTTCCAGTTACTCCCTCTCACTTAAGATGCAATGTTCTCACACACCCTCAGTCTGTGCTCTTCCTTTAGGGTGAGAGACAAAGTTCCACACTCACAATACAACATGTGAACTTTTAGTTCTTTATATTTTAATATTTACGTTCTTAGGATAATACATGGAAGGATGCAATACAGTATTTTGAACTGAATTTCCCAAACTTAGTCTGGTTTTCATTTCACAATAAGCAGAATTTTGATTTGCTACCATCGTTCTTAAGCATGGGAACTCAATCAAATCTTTAACGATTTATTAGCTACATTATCTAATAGGAATCTGTTACATTTCACAGCATTCAAAGGCTAATAAGAATTACCTTGAGGAGTGGCCTAAGGGTCTCATACACTGGGGAACCCTGCAGGTTGCTGCGGTAAATGTGAGTCCCTAGCACCTGGATGAAATCAGAGCATAGGACAATGACATCTTGTCCATATGTGGTGAGGCCAAGCTCAATGGAGCTCAGCAGGTTCTTTAACAGACCCATGGGCAGTTGGCAAACCTTGTCAGGGTATATCTCACACACAAATGTAATCATCTTGAAATACTGCGTGCACAAGGATGGGAACTTGAGCAGGTCCACCGTCATGAGTGGCATTATGATGTTGAGTCCATATAGACAGACGTCCCCTGCTGTCACCGTCTGTTCTCCCTCAGAGGAGCCATCTGCAATGGCAAAGCAGAACCCAAAGACTTGGCAACATTACTGATGCCATGATCTAATCAGCTGATTTTTTTTTTGCAAATTATATATATATTGTAACGTGTCTTGCGTTACTGATCCCACTTCTGACACCAGTGTAACGTGTTTTGCGTTACCGAAGACGCCGTAGAGATGTTTAATTGGTTTATTTAACGATCTACAACTAACGGCTACAATTAATTATCACACAGTTGCGGGGTTTCACACTTTATAACCCTAATCGCATTAATCTGTCGACACTGTTGCGGGGTTTCACGACTTATAACCCTATGCGCAAATCAGTTCACTCTGTCTTCAGTAGTCCACACGTTTACCGTAGGGGAGCTTTGTATCACTGTATCACACGCTCCCAATTACACAATTACACACACGTCCGGATCTTCTTTCCGCGACGGCTGCTATACTCCAACTTGTAGTCGGCTGGCTGTTACTTTATAACTCGGAATGTCTTCGGCGGTAGCCACACTGGAACTCGAACTCGAACTG